GTCGATGCGGTGCACTCGTTACGAGAATCTGAAACAATGTTCGCGCATATTATTCCGTCTACCCGAGGTACCTGCCAGTCATGCATAACGTTAGTGTGTGATCGAGCTACTTGATCAGTTCATATTTTGACAGTCACAGTTTAATATGCGATAGCTGCTCTCTCAGTGGTACTTCTCTTATAAATACACGGCCATTCTCAGCCAGATAGAGAAACGCTTCTATAGGGCGTGGTCGTTCTTGAGGGATCAGTCTTCAGGAGAGAGCAATAAGGTTCCATATGAGACGCTCATCTTCCTGTGACATCTTGGCCGCCTGGGCAGAGGCCCGTTGCCTCCAGGGACGCTGGACCAGTTCGTTGCAACGCACACTCGTCTCCCTGGGGGTCCAAAAACTAGTTGATATGCTTCGAATTGTGAAGCATAGTCTTCATGATGCTATTGAAATCGTATGTTTTAAGTGCGTCTAGCACTCTTTCATATCCTTCATGATATACAGATCACTGGCCAATGACCTGTTCATGTTAATTAACGAAAAATTAGATAGATATTCTTTTGATAATTAACTTAAACGGTACACGAAATGTTGTTATTGATGCTGTTTCGTCATCATGCCATATAGGAAAACATTTATGGCAACCCTGTTATGATTTCTTGATTCAGGAGTTACTCGCGATTTACGCAAACTAAGGCCCGCATTGTTTTTTTAGGTTCACTGTTTTATATTACTAGGCGAGGGATTACTTTAATAGGCGAGGGATAATTATCATGCTACAAAAGACATCCAAATTAAACACTGAATAGTGTTGTTGACCTAAGCGGCACCACCCCGTGTAGTAGTTCTATTAGGCTTACCCAGCCTTACAGTGTAAGGACGCATTCCAGCACACGAAAAAACACAAAAATGATATGATATAATAAAAACGAGTATAAAAATTATTAAGTTCGGATTGAGAGTTTATTGTCATATAAAAAAAAAACAAAATAATAATTTAAGTACGTAAAAAAACCCACTCTAAATTTTCCTTGCGGTTATAGAAACAAACTGTTTTAGCTGGTAGATGACCACCTTGCAATAGTAAAATCTTCGAAATCACGTACAAAAGGATATAAAGAGCTTTCGACTACTAGTTGCCGCTCGTTCAGCTGGTCAGCTCACATAATTAGCGTAAGTAGCGTCGCCTTAGCGCGCGAACCCGTAAACAGAATAAGTTCTAGTTTTTAGCTATGTAGGGATCATAAGGTCCATCTAGGTAACCTGTATGTGCTGTAGTATAAATAACTCATCATCATATAGCTTCTGTGTGGTACTGTATTGACTGTGTACGACGCTCAGTGAGATGTTCGGAGTTTTACGTCTCGTATCGTCGCTAGGTGTTCCATCAGATGGCCGGGTCTGTGCTTGGGTTCGTCCCACATTACCCACTAAGGGGACGATTCACATTAAGCTATGTTAAAGGTCCCGGCACACATGTGGTAGTTGAAAAGACGGTTTTAAATTTCTGTTGTTTATGATTTTTTCTTTTTCTTAATGGTTGAAAGTGACTGCTGCTGTCTATTACTATATAAAACGTACTGGTTATATTTAATGCTTTTAGACTTTTATTTATTTTATAATTATCAAAGCGTGAAGCTAGCACAGAAACAATAGACCGTTACCTCATTGCAAACGTTTAGGGAAATATACTGTTTTATACTATTTCTAACCAGTCAAATTGTCAAACGTAGGAGAGGGTGATGCTGTTGCAAACGACCGACGAATCAGGCCGTTCGTCTATAAATACCTGGTCGACTAAAAGTGCGATTGGTGTCAATGTAACCAAAACAACCGTAGGCCATCGTTCACCTGTAATTTGCTGCTGTCGCCGTTATTAGGACCCTCTGCTTTGTGACGCCTATATTCTTGCAACATCTAGGCTCAAAACTGTGAATTCGATCAACAAATTTCTTTCTCTATGTTTTGTGCCTTTCGTAGTCCAATGTCTGTGCTTGCTATCAGCACACGCAATACATCATAGATTGGCTTTAACGTACACTTTCTCTTTAGGCATGGGAACGTCAACCTACTGTTTCAGCGTCATAGGTATATATTGTCTTCTTATATATATATATATATATATATCTGTAACTAAATAATGGCAGTGGTCATTAAAGCTATCTTCAACAACCTATTGATAATTTGCATCCTAGCACAGCAAAAGGATGCAAATCACCACTATCCTTATTTTTTTAATTAAGCAGAATTGAACTAAATTTGCAATATCTTTGAATATCTTGCTGACGCTAACGTGCCTAAAATAATAATAGTAATGGTAATTATAATATTATTCATAGTAAAAGTAATGACGGCAGTATTAACGTGAACGATTGCAAACTTTTATGACGGAGCTGTCACGTAACAGTGTGTTTTTTGTCGGAAATTAGGTTGAAAGATACTCCGTATGCCCTTGAGCTTTTGTACCTGCATTAAACTAAATTACTACGGTGCTACGTTTTTCAGCATATCCTAGCTAATCCTCAATATACAGTGCTAGTAGGGGTCCGATGATAAACGAACACTTTTCCATGGTTCCAGGTTACTTATCGCCTAAATCACATGTACATACACATACATGTATATATGCATGCAGCATTGACCGCCTAATGAAAATTTGTCAAACTAACGCAAAAATGTGACTTTCGTATCAATTTGATCACGGTGAAAAGGACGTTTGCTGTATGAGATTCGATTTAGACAAAGGTAGGATTTAGGAGTCGGATTGGTTCTCGTTCGTAGAAGCTTTAAACCCCAAAAGCCCGTTTTACCTTCAAGCTAGAAATCTGTTTACTTGTTTCGCGCGCTCGTTGATGCGCTACCCCCGTTTTATTTCTCTCTTCGTATGCGTCGCAGAAGCGTACACGACACGACCTCTTGTTCCTTACTCGTTCACTTGGTTTTTTCCCTTTGCGGCTACCCCAGACTTTCCTAACGCTCACTACTGCGATTACCCCTTCGCTTACGTTTCGTCCATTCGCATTCTCTACTCTCCTCAAACACTCGCTTCCATCATCCGCTTTCACTATCGGGGGCACTTGACTTTTAACTGAATGCGGCGACGCGTTGACGCACTCTCTGCTTCGTTCTCCGCTGTCCATGAAGTGCGATGTAAGAGTGGTGTGACATACGCACTTGGCGCGGGACGGCGTCAACTACAAGCAGGACGCTATCGCTGCTACCGCAGACTAACTCAGCCAGAGACTTTCACGGCACTTGAACGCATTCGGCGAAGACATACGGCTTTTGACGGCCTAGCATCATCAACGATCAACACTAACACTGGAGAGGAAAACGAAGGATAAGGGCTGGCTCAAATCATGCAACCAGAGTACCTGGCAGGCACTGAGCAAGGATTTAGTCTGAGCAAGGACAGAGTAGATAAAGGTTGCCGGCGACAATGGTAGCAGGGCACTTGTCGTTGCCGTGTGCACTCATGGCTTTCTCTATTTTCTGTTGATGATTTCCAAAATGAGCTGGCTATCTCGCTACGTGCATCTATATGTGCGTGTATATTAAATTCTGCTCGGAATTACCGTGCGTATGTGTAGCACATCAGAGACGAAGTGCGTATTCCCTTAGGCTCGAGCATTCAGATCTCTGTTTCTAAAAGTTTGATTCAACAAACACATTTTCATGAAGTTATATTGCCATCGAAGAGGTGCCATCCTTCGATGTTACGATGATCGATTGTTTAATGCTTATTAAGCTTTCACCGCTAAATTTGTGAAGCATCTTTTCTTTTGTGCTCTCAAGGTGGTTTACTTGTAGATCAATGAGCAGCATAGTGATATTGAAATCCTGGATAATTTTTTTTTGTATTTGTTGCCGTAATTGCTTCCACCTTTAAGTGCTAGAATCGGCATGGGTGCAAGCAACCATTACCGTTGCGAAATGCGCGTTTTTTTGATTAATATTGCAATCGAAATTTCATCTGAGGATTATATATATATATATATATATATATATATATATATATACGTATATATATATATATATATATATTGGTGTTGGTTAAAATGATCGTGTGTTTTTGGCGAGGCCGATGGCAATGATGACGATAGTCTTCGTGGTGATGGTGGCTAGCGGCTGGTATTATTGGCGGCATGAGAACTCCATGAGATAGTAATGGCTGAATGAATATATGTATATCTGTTATTGGCTTGTAGGAGTAGGCTTGAACGGTGCTCGTCAGCTTGGCCCCGCCCATTCGGACGTCTCTGTTCCCGCCTTCGGGGCGGCGCATGCGCAAAGGTTGGTGCGGGTTGGGTCTCTGCAAGCTCACTGCCGCTCGTTAAACGGTCTAGCTGGTCAGAGTTTGAACTCGAGGGCTGTGCTTTCCCTGTGTTCTCCACCTTCGTCTTTCGCCGCCGCAAGCCATCCACGGCCGAGTCAGTTTCTTGGTGGGCGAACCAATTGGCACTCCAAAGTTTAGAACAAGAGAAGTACATGGCTGTTACGCATACGCGGCTCGGATCTAACTTAATTCTCGACCCCCAACTAGCTAGCTGTTTCACCAAGCTTGACCCCGCTCAGCAGTTCTGGCCACGGTTATAATTATACAAACTTTAAGTTGTGGGATGTCGACCAAGTATTCTCCACAAGTGATTTTCTGTACACTCAGTGCCTCAGTGATGGTTACTACTAATAGTTTCATCGTATTATTTGTGATGATTTTATCAGTGCGTTTTGTTGGACAGCTCAAGGCAATCTAGAGCATTCGTGTGGCTAATTTATATAAGAGAGCGAAGAAACTCTTACAGACAGAGGAGATCTGGCAAAGTGATTTTTGTAAAACAGACGATGACAGGCTATCACAATAACTACTGCAAAAGTTTTGCTAATTCATAATTTCTGATTCGGCGGCTATAGCTGGTAAACGTGTGTTTTGTCTTCGAGAGGTCGACCATTTTAGCGGCTCATTAGATTAACAGCTGCATAGTGATAGCAATTTTTGTTTTTAGCCAGAAGTGTCCCTTCAGAGAAGAAAGGACGACCGACGAAAATGAAGTCCTCATTAGGAGTTTAAAGGAGATCAATATTATTTGACATCGGACCACGTTAATGAACGTACGCTATCTACCCACTATCCGGCTAGATCCAATGCGCCCGTGTGCACTGAGTTCTTCCGTATCAATCCATCATTAGCAGAAGTGACTCAATGTGCTGGACAAAACATACGAGAGCAGCAAGAAGAACGGTGACCAAACAGACCATATCATTATCCAACTAGGGCTATAAATATCCAGAGCGTGGCCAAAGGATCCTTGCCTAGGTTGTATTTATGTTGCTTTCAATAGGATTAGTGATGATATTGGCGGCAACACATTTCACAAGACACAAACCGAAATAGGACAGCTTATGCAAGGACCGTTTTCGTGCGACTTTGACGGGCGCAGAATTAATATTGTTGCCTCGGATATTTGATTTCGTGCTTCTAAATTGTTTCGTCGCAGAGCGCCTGTAGAAAGTGACTGTCGTTTTCCTTCGTCGCTAGTTCTAGCCTTAGCATAGTCACGCGCACGCCCGGTTCGTGTAAATTACCGGCGAGGACGAGCTGTCAAGTTGTCCGGCCCCGTCGGATGGGATGACCATTGAAGAGTGTTCTTCCGGAGGAGCGATGGAGGAGCGCGACAATAGCGCGACCCCCGACATTGAATCAAATCAGGAGAACAGCGGTTGTCATGGAACGCCTGGAGGGTCGATACTAAATCTAACCAATAAAAAGGAACAACCGGACGATGATCAGGCCTCGTTGGACATTAGAGGTCACGATGTAGAAAGCATTACAAGTTTAAAAAATCAAATATTAGACTTCAAAGGCCATATAAAAGATGAACAGCTAATCAAAGATCGCCAGCTTCTTCTTCGAGACCACCATCCACTGTTGAAGGACAATCCTTGTAGGGACGATCGTCTTGAGGTGAAGGAGAACGTCGTTGTTGATTCACTCGATGAGCAATCGTCCTGCGATCGTTCGAGCCCGACCCGTTTCAGACAGGACGAGCCGACACAGGAGGTCATATGTCCAGACGATGGCGAACCTCTAGAGTCTTTTCTGCTTAAGCAAGGTAACGCGCAGAGTCAAGGCCTTCCCTTTCCAAATCCGATCCAACTCCAATTGCACCAGCAATTGCAGTTACTTCATGCAGCTGCCCTCCAGCAGCATCAGCTCCAGGATCACCTACAGCAGCAGCAGCAGCAGCAGCAACAACAGCCACTCCAAGCCCACTCGCAAACATTGCACCATTCACAAAATAGCCAACACTCGTCGTCTACTGGCAACCTATTGAGTAGTCACATTCTAAATCAGCATCAACTACAGAACCAGTTACAACGGCAGCTTCAGTTATCCCAACAGAATTGTCGTCTACTTTTGAACAACAATAACAACAACAACAATAACAACAATAACGGGGGAGCTATTGCGACTTCTATGAGTAAAACGTCGTTTTCGGTCGACGATATTCTCGACCCTGGAAAATTTACAGGAGCAGCCCAACAGTTACATGCCCAACTGCAGTTACATGCGGCGGCCGCCGCGGCGGCCGCTGCGGCAGCAGGTACAAACCCTATTACTATGCTTAGAAATACGTATATTTATCGATAAAAGCAATGGCGGGGATGTCTATATACACTTATGTGGACACGTCGTAGCCGCATAACGACACGCGAACGTTAGACAACGGTAGGATGGCGGCATAATCTTCGGGCAAGACTGGTTTTTGTGCATTCAATAATTCTTCGCTCACACAAAAGAAATCGAATCTGTTTACTCTGAGATTAAAATGTTAATGTAAAAATCCGCTGTAATGAACGCCTGAAAGCATAGAATAGCGTTTTTCGTCAGTAGATTGCCCTGAAGGGATACGGCGAAGGACTGAGGACACTACATAAAGCAGGCTTTTGTTCGCTAGTTCAATAGATGTACTTTAGGATAGCTGAGAAGTTATTGTTTCTTCTGTAGTTATCTATCTATCTATCTATCTATCTTTAGTTGGTATCGTTTGCTTTTATCTAAAATTGCGAAGTCGACTTCCGTGAAACGAGGTTAGACGCTAAAAACAACGATTGAGTAGCCATACGTATTAATTCAATGGCTGAAGATTACTTCGAGAAAACTCCCTACGTTTATTGTGACGCATGCCGCCATTAGCTGGGATATATATATATTCGAAAAATATAAATACAGTAACATTTTTTCGTTCGTTTCAGTCATCCTTAAGCGTATTATAGCCTTACGTTATGCATCGGTGACACGGCCAAGTGCTTCCTCATAAGGCCCAATGATTTCACTGACCGGCTGAGAAATAATGTCTCTATGCTGAGCATAGCCTTATTGGTATTGGGGATAGCCCGAATTGGTGCAGGCATAAACTAGCATAATGGCATGCTGTTACAGAACAGTTGTTTTAAAAATCGTACGTTCAGTTTTCTCTCGGTCAGAATAGGCTCAGCGGTCCCTCGTCTAATCTTCCTGGCTGAACGGTTACAGGAGTGACGACGTCAAGCTCTCACGCGGCGGCTGCCACTCTCCAGGCGCTTGGACTTAATAATTTAGCTGTGTCTGCATCGGCCGCTTCGGTATGGGCTAACGCAATAGGCCAACAACAACAACAGCAGCAGCCTCGAACCGCATCTTCGATGGCATCAGCGACACAATTGCATCATTTCGAAACGGAAAATAGTCAGCATTCGGGTGAGTCCCAGCACCGATGCGCTAATAGGAAATAACCGATAGGAAATAACGACCTTTAAATTATATATACGCATTTGTTCAATGGCTCCTTCGTCATCGTGGTGCTTTTCTAACGGTATATAATAAGTGCGTTTTGCTTATAAACCTACCGCAACAAACACCTTCACGGTTAGCGCACTCGGCTAACACGCTACTCGTACAAACGAATAGAACGAGCAATGCCAGCTCATGCTTACTAATATTACCAATCAATTATTAAAGAACCGCACATCTATAACGTCCTCGAAAGCCAGATTAGCCGATCATGGGTGAAACCCAAAATTCGACCCGGCCGACGACTTCTTGCTAGTAGCAAGCAATCGCTGGGCCAAGCGACACGGGAACGAAGCGATAGCCCGTTGATAAATAACGGGTCTATTTGACCCAGCTGCCCAGTGGCTTTCGAGCGGCCGCGTAGAAACCTACGTACAAACGCGCAAACACACACACACACACACTGGTCAGATATAAGGGATAATTATCCAATTTCTTTTTCGTGGTCTAGCACAAAGTCCAAATATACGTGCGGTAAAGTAATCCTTGTTCAGTGGTCCCACAAGTGGAAGCTGCGACAGTGATATCTGTACAACACTCAGATATAGATTATGTACCGCCAGTTTATATTTACTTAGTTACACGCAAATGAAACTTACATTCAAGGATTTAAAACCACGTGCGGAACCACCGACAGATTCACTGGACGCTTTCTCATTATGATCAATAGTATAGTGACTTCCTAGTGAAAAACATTACATTAAATCGTAGATGAAATCTTTTGAAGAAAAGCTAGGAAATTATCGGTGGCCAAACGTTTACTAAATGCAGAAGACAGGCTCGTGATTGTTTCCTGTATAAGGTAATAATACACATTCTATTCACTAACGTTATGTCCATGACCTTAATGTTTGACTTGCACAAATGTTTTGCTGTGCAACGCTTGACGCCGTGAAAAAGATGTATCTAGTCGAAAATAACAATTTCAATAGAAACAAGTTTGTATGTGTACGTACAGACGCGAAAATCTATTAATCAAGTGACCAATTTTCTAGTTAAGCAAAATAGGCCATTTTGGTAAACGCCGATTCCGGGTCCTGCTATATTGGGCACTAAATCGATCACAAAAATTCTCCAGTCAACGTATCATTCAGAACCTAGTATAGCTCACAGGCCACGTACCGGCTGCGTAAGCTGTATGTTTCAGTTAAGTACACAGACTGTGCGTAATGGCCACTCTTAACGATAGATCGTATTATGTACTGCTACAAAGGTATTAGGACATTCCTAGCACTTTTTGTTTCGCTTGAAAAGTTTCAAGTTCAGAAGGGGGTTCTTCCATCGAACTGTGCTCGCCTCTGACGAGTCCACTCACACTAATTTGTTTTTCCCAAGTAAGAACTTGTACTAATCTCTTTTGGGCTGATTCGGTAAACTTGATAGAAATCCACAACCTTGTTTGCTAATGACAAGTCCAACAATTACGACACAAACAAATTGTAGCGTGACATATGATTGTATTTTTATGTTCACAGACTCTTTTACTGAAGCTGCCGATCTTTTTCACGTTGATACCCTGCTAAGCTTTCAGTTTCGCTTTTTTCAAAAATAAATTCCTACAAATTTTAACGAATCAATTTTAACGTCAAAGGATAAAACAACAAAATAGGAAACGCGTCGTAGGTTCAGTTGCGTAACGTCAGGCTTCATTTCAGTGATGACGTTCGTTCGTCAGGCCAGGGAACCAAACCCTGTGTCTGTACAATGCAATATTAAGAGCGTTACCACCTCTGATTTGCGGAAGTACGTATATTGACACATTACGCGGTAATTAAGTTGGTTTGTCGAAATCCTCAAAGCTAAGTCTCGCCAGCAGCATCAGGGATGGCTGCTCCGTCGAGTATCAAGATGAGGCACCGGCCGATTGCCGAGAACAACGGCGACAGTCAGCGATGCGGAATTAATCTGTGCTGCTCGAATCGTGACTAAGCCGTTTCAGGTCCCCAAACGGCAGTCGGCGGCTGAGCTCACCGGTAGTCCTGCCAGCTCCTGTTAGAGCCACCAGCTACCGTTCAATGCTACCTACGACGAGTTTGTGCCGCCTCGGCTACGATAGCTATGATGAAAAGGAGCAGGAGGATAGTGGCAAGTCGCGCTCGTTCAGACGCTCAAACGATTTTCCCTTCACCCCCCGGTTGAAGCGCTGCGATCGTCCTCGTTGCTGTTCAGGCCGGCATAGCCTAAGCTGGCGCAGCGTAGCCAGGCCAGTCAGCAAGCACGCTAGCTTTCTCCCCCCTCTATTGGCCCCGTTTACCATGACTGGCCGATGATTGCCTGAATCAAAGCTCTTCTTCTAGGGTACCATCATCAAACCTGCACCGCTTTCTTCCCCTTCAATGAATGCTGAGTTAACAGCTCAATTAGCACATCAAGTGGCTTCTATCACCCCATACACATCGTCTATTTCTTCCCCCATCCCTGTTTTTCGCCCACTTCCCTTAGCGCCCGACTCTATCTCTACATACATATCCCCTAGCCCTATTCATTTCGTCCTAGGAGAACTAGAAAGAGAGCAAGATAGCGAACGGGTCCTTATTTCTGTCGAGAGCAAGGGAGTCGCTTTGCCGCTAGTCTTCACTTCTTCACCCCGTCCTCTCCCCTAGCCCATAGCCACCCCAATATCCTGTATATATGCCTCGCACCCACGTTCGTTGTCCCCATAGTTTGCCGCAACCTCGCTGCTGCCGCCCCCACTTTTCGGGCTCGTCACGACAATCGAGTTTTTGCTCGCCAGCTACATGGGAAGTGCAGAGTCTGAAGGCTTCTTCTCAGTTTCTCATCAGGACCTTTCAAGTTTGATCCCGGGCGTGACATTTTTCGTAGTCTCTTCTACTCACTCGCGCCCGCGCCGCCGCCGCCGCCATCTGTATCAGAGCTAACTCACGTGCCAGTTAGATCGTCAAGTTCACATGTTGTTTTCTAGTTATCGCTATTTTTTGGGGAAGAGGATACTGTCGTTGGTTATGCTGGCGATGGTGGTATGTTGACATGTCGACTTACAGGTCTTAGTTCGAAGGTGGCTAAATGGTGTTGTAGGAAAAATCCTCAAAAAGAAACCCTCGTGCATCAAAGGGAAGTGGAAAAATAGCAAGTGGTGGAAATCGACATTTTCTGTTTGTATGCAACGCGACAAGTTAGTTAAGATAGCATTTTTGATTACTCTACTACTGCACTTATCGTTTCAACAGATGCAGTCGATAGATTTCAGTTGGATATATCTGATAACACGAGCGGTGCTCGGACTGATTTAAACCGTTTCCTCCGTCTACATAGGTTGACATTTTTGGAAACACGTTTGATTGTTATGAACCTTTTTTTAGGTTATTTTTTTGACGAAAATCTCGATGTATTGTATTAGTTTAGGACAAGAGCATAGCAATGCCTGCAAGCAGCGGGACAGTATTCACTTAAAGCTGTTTTGCTGGCATCTTCAAATCGCTGCTTTCAATGAACCGGTTATCACTGAGTAGCCGTAAATTTCTTTTTAGAAACATAGAGAATTGGCCTGTGACCGATTAGTAGTGGAACAAAAAAAGTCTCTTTTTGTTTAGTTGGTAATTCTGAAACGTACCAGCAGCAACAGCATTCGGTCAATTACGATATGTACAAATAGCCCCTACAGAGAAACCGTCACCATGGCCTTACGCAACGAAAGGTCTGATCTGTTGTTTCCCCGTCAGCGTTGAGTCAACGTGCACCCCCCTTTCTTCATGGAAGCGCCTCGATTTGCAACAGCGCCGCACCTGGCACTATTGTTCGTCTTTGATTTGGCTTAGAACTTGCCTGGTTAAGCATAGTACAGGTAGCTTATCTTCGTTATACTTAGATACTCGGTATAACTTCTTCTAATTGCTTTACATTGATACCAGGCTCTGGAAAAGAGAATCGTTATCGAATTCGAGCTACGCGTAAGGAAATAGGTCTCGTTCCGGCCTTTTTATTCCCTCCGTATTGGGTATCTGCCGAGCTCAATTTAAGTTAGTGACTGCCTACTCGTTACTATTATAATTATTATTACAACTAACTAGTTCCAGTAGTATCGCCAATACCGACACTGCCAAGCTCTGGGTCCCTCAGTTCTGTGTCCGCCTCCTACGATCGGTCAGATCCGACCGGTGCGAAACCACTTCGTAGGGTGGCGGCTGTGAGCGAGGGATGCGGTGGGCGCGAGCTACTCGGATTTAAACCTTGGCGCGCCCACTCGGGCGGAAGAGCAAGAAAGACCCACAAAATGTCGAAGATATAGAGACAGCGATAGAAAGGTGAAACGCAGGACGACAGGAGGGAGGCCGGGAGGTTAGCGTCAGTCCTACCTGTGATTTTGACTCTGTTCTGCACGGCTTAGCGTTCGCCTATCAAGGGCCTGCAGGGAGGGATAAAGCGGAGCTGTGCAAAGGCCGAACTACTCCTGTGAAGGCCTCTTTTCGACGACTACAACTACGAGATGTGAGGTTCTTGTGTGAGGCGAGTGGCGAGCGGAAAGCTCCTACTGAAACGGCTATGTTAGAGAGGGAAACCTCTTCTCGGCTGCATACGCCACAATGAGAGAGTGCTCGAAGTGACTCGGAAGCTGTGCGGCCTATTCAGTACGCCACCAGCGTATTCACTAATAGGACGACGGGTAGCGATGTGCGCAACTTATGGTGCCAGCTAGCGGATCGGTTGTAGCTATGATCCTGCAGCTTTGCTTCTTGGACTGGGATCAATTGTCGTCGTCGTTTCTAGTGACAATGACTACGACAGTTACTACTAGCGCCGTCGCCACAGCCGCCATTGACAGCATCTCTTCCCCCTCTTATATGTCCGATAGTTTCGCCCGTTGTGGTCCGGGTGAACGATACGCCATATAATTCCTCGGCTCGATCTTAGGGGTGTGCTTGCAAACATGGCCGATTCTAGTGCTGGCT